ATGCGCACGTCTTGGTTGACGCCCACTTAGTAGGCGGTGACGAGCGGCAGGAGCGACGCGCTCATGCGGACGCCGGGGCAGGCCATGGTCTCGGGCTGGCGTCGTGCGCCGCTGGATCGGATTTGAAACAAACGAACAGCGGTACGGGATGGGTATAAAACATATTTTAAACATATCGTTGGGTGATGCTTTTGGGCGATGGATATTGGTCGCTGGGCGGGGTTGTCTAGCGTGCGGTAGACACTAGGACTATACACAAGAATGTATAGGGAATATCAATGCACTACTGCATAGAGCGAGTGACCGTCCGCGTCCCGAGCTGACGTGTGGGCGACCGACCATCGCCGAGCCAAGGCGACAAAGCAATCGGACGATGGAAGGTAGTACATGTCAATCTATGGACGGTCGAGGGGCGACGAAGGTCCGCGATGTCTGCTTCGATCGCTGTGGAGTCGGTGTGCAGCACCGGGTGGGGATAGATGGAGCTCATGAGGTCCCCGAACGCAACGCGACGTAAAGCGGCCGTTCTGAGTGATAACGGCGCTGGCAGCAGCGAGACACCGAGGTCCATGTTGAAGCGCCAAAGGCGTTGGAGGCCCTGTCGAAGTCGGACAGAGAAAGTTGTTGGATGTGTGCGGACGAAGGAGCAAAAGGCAATAGACACTGAGGAAGAGCGAGAGGAGGAGGTGCCCGAGACTGAGCCAGTCGAGGAGCATCTCGGCACGCGACGGCGGTAGCCCTGCTGCTGATGACGCTGGGTGCTTGCGGCGACGTCACATAGCGCTTTGGACCGACTTTGATTGCTTCGCGCTTGCTTTCTCTTGACCAACGGACCAAGGAGACAGGCGTTTTTCCAAGATCTCGTTCGAGTGCATAAGCTCCGGTACTTTGCGGATGGCACGTTTACGTCGCGACCTCGCACCTCATCGCCATGGCATGCATACCCAGTGCAATATTTTATCGCTCTTCAAATTAAATGTGAGGAAACAGCCCTAACCCCAGACCTAGCCCCAGCACGGCTCCCACTGTGACATGGCCTTCGCCAAGCAGCGACATGGGTGTCGTCCTATGGTGCGCTCGTTTCACTTGCCGTGGAACTGGGGATCTGCATAATGACGAGCACGCTCGCCGTGATGGTCCGCGACTCGAACAACATGGGGGAAGGTCGGATGCCTTGATTGCTAATCTTGAGCGACGACACGAAGCCCCGTTGCACGTGTTATGCTTGAGCGACTAAAGTACATCGAACGTGCCTATATAGGTCACTTGATGAGAGAGTGATGCTGCGGTAGACGTTCCGGACATAACCACATGCATCCGGATCATTGTCGAGTGCAGTGACATCGGCTGTGATCACCGACAGTTACACATCTCTCTTTGCCGCGATCTATAGAAACCGAAGCAAGCGGACAAGTAAGCTCGTACGTACGCCAAAGGAGAGATTCGCTAGCATTCCCAGTGCGTTCTTTCCATCTCACACTAGTTCGTTCGAGCTGTATTGACAAACATGTTTTGGAGCGTTTGCCTTCTTTGCCTGTGGGCTGGCCGGTGGTTTTTTCTGCACGGTATATATTTTCCGTTTTAAAAGGTGCGATGGAGCAAAGGGTACAGTGATCATGGCGGGCAGTGTATCGCATGAGCAGGAGGGACTGGATCACCGCCGAAAATAGCTCGACTACCATTCAACGATCGGCCGCGGTCAAACATGAGATAGCTCGGTAGAGCTCGACACGAGTTGGTGAAGGCGAGATCGTGAGCACCACAAAATCACCAGGTGTATTCCAGCATTGGCGCACGAGAATAATGATTCGGGAAAGCCCTAGAGCACGAATCGCAACGCGATTGGCTGCTGGTGAAACGGCACTCTGCGACAGCTTGAAAAACGGCCGAGAGAAGGTATCGATCGGACCCATGGATCGGACCATGATGGATCGATGAATTGCAGTACGGTAATACTCACTGGTGCGACTATTCTTACGCCCCGAATGTCCCGCACGGTGATCACGGTATGTTTCGCTCATGCCCATCGTCCCCCGGACTGGCGCTGGCGGTGATTCGCTGCACGTTCTGCAGCGCACGATGTCGTTGCTTGCTTCAACATCCATTTTTGTACGGTTCGTTTGCTACTGGATGGCGGACCCAGCATCGTGTCGTAGATCAAATTGCAGGCGCGCTTGACGCACCGGCCTGCCTCACGAGCGATCTAGGACGTCCACTAGCTCGACGGGTGCATATATATAGCTCATTTCATCAACAAATTGTACTTCGCGAGAAGCCGCCTCGGTCAGTCATTCCCACAAACTTTAAGTGCTGCGGCTTCTGATTGGTAAAGTAACGGCTTCCTGCGGGATGTAACCGAAAAGTCGCATTTTCTATATTTTTTGCCACACACGACGTGGCACTCATAATCTTCTCTCTCGTAAGCGTCAGTCATACCACCGACGCATCAGATCATTTTCCAATTTTCACACACAAGATGCAACGCTTTGTCAAGACCTCGACGCTTGCAACCACGTCGGACGGCGCCGTCCTGCTGGCCTACGACACCGACCGCGCAGCCATGTGCGTCATCAAGCGCACGCGTCTCTCGCGCTCGACACACGCCGCCGTCGCGAGCGAAGTGCGCGCCTACGACATTCTTCAAGCCAAGGCGGCGGCGACATCGAACCACATCCTGCGCTGCTATGGCAGCCACATGGATCGCAAGCGCACGCACCACTACCTCCTTCTCGAGCACTGCGCCAAAGGCGATCTGTACAACCACCTGCATGATCTACCCATGCACAAGTGCACGCCCGAGCTCGCGCAGCAGTATTTCATGCAAATTGCGCGTGGTCTCGCGGCCATCCATAGCTGCGGCCTCGCCCACTGCGATCTCTCGCTGGAAAATGTCTTTGTCGATGCCAACGGCAAACTCAAGATCGGCGACTTTGGCCTCGCGACGCCGCTCGCAGCAACGGCGACACATGCAGTCGGGAAGAGCTACTACATGGCGCCCGAGATGCACACCAGTGGCGACTACAGCGCGGCGACCGTCGACGTCTGGTCCCTTGGCATCGTGCTCTGGATGCTGCTCACCGGCGTCACGCTCGTCGAGTCGTCGTCCGAGGTAGACGAAGTGTTTGGCTTTCTCCAGCGCGTTGGTATCCGGACACTCGTCCACGCGTGGGGACTGTCATTGCCAAGCGACGCTGTCGAGATGCTGGCG